TGGACTCCCCAGAACATAATTGTAGGGTGTTTAGCGATAATCGCGGGCTGATGCATCCAACTATATATAAATGAACTTTCCACTGCATCGAACAGGTTTTGTTTGAATGTCGTCGACAATCATGACACAAAATACAATCTATTTATTTTCTTCATGCATATTTTATTGTGTGTGAAAGTGTCTCTCTCCTCATTAACAATACTATATATTATGTATATGTCTGAAGTGAACTCGTTAAGTAATCTACGATAATTCATCATTATAATGCAAATTAATTAAATTCCTGATGGAATAAGACACGCAATTAGCAAAAATTATCTTTACGAGATATATAATTGAATTAAGTTACTTGTTTCATTTGGAAAAGTTCTTCTACTTTAAATTATCTCTTTCTCTCTCTTTCTCTTTTTCTCTCTCTTTTTTTTTTGCTCTTGTTCTTTCATTTAGCAAAAATCGATTATACGTTCGTTGCTAATTTTCAATTAATAGTTGATTACGATTGTAGTACAAGGGAAGGATGGATTTTTGTAAAAAATGCTTTTCTTTTTTTGTTTGCATTTTTTTTTATTTGTTCGCAAAAGAAATTGTTTAGTTGATTCTTTCTTGTTTATTCAGTTGGTATTTTAGTATTCTTTTTATGGAAGAATGGATTTTACAGAAAATTTAATGCTTATAAAAGAATATTGTTTTCATTGTCTAAAGAATAAATGAAAAAAAATTGCTGATTGTAAAAAAATTTTTTTTTTCGTTTTTTATTTTACAGACTTGTGAAAAAGTAAATTATTTCTGGCCAATTAAATTGTATAAAGAATTATCTTTTACCTTTGTATTTTAAATTTCCGCTTGGAAAAGAAGAACATATACAGGCGAGATATTAAATATTGATTATTTGCAATGGAGATTTTTATTCTTTAATAAATCGTAGATAAATGCTAAAAAATTCAAGAGGAGTTCAATTTTGGAAAAAAAGATTATTTTTAGAGGCATAAAATTTGAATTTAAATTTGAAGGGTGTCTATTTTTTAAATTAAAATTACTTACAGCTGCAAACGTCCCTCCAATATTTTTCAAAATTTCCATAAAATTCTTTTAAAGAAATCAATTATTTTTTAATAGAATTTTAGGAGATTTCAATTCTTTAAAATATTTTCAAGTACTTATTTTTAAAGAATGCAATTATTTTTTAATAGAATGAAAGGAGATTTCAGTTATTTAAGAAATTTTCAATTAATTATTTTTTAAAAGTTCAATTATCTTTAGAAAAGTAGAAGTAAAATAATTTAAAAACATAATTTTTCAGAATTTTAACTAAAACTTTTCGAAAGTCGTTCAATCTTTTAAAACAAATTTTAATTTAAATTTCTACCTTTTCTACAAAATGATTATTATTTAACAAATAATTTTATTTATTTTTAATTATTATTAATTTAGAAATTATTAAATTTATTAATTTATTTAGTAATTAATTAATTATTTTAAAAATTAGTTAACTGATGACTAAATTAATTTAGTTTGTAATTAATAAATTATTAATTATTAAAAAAAACAATTTTTTTATTAAAATTCATGCAGAAATTCTATAGAATTATTCGAGTAAAAAATTTATCTTTATACATAAAGTCTAAATAATAAATGAAAGAAATAAAATATTGCATATTATTGTAAAAGAATTTTTTGTTTATCATAAAAGTTTTTCTATTTATTAAAAAAACGATTTTATATAGAAATGGAAAAGCAAAAATTTCTAGCCAATTAAATACATTTAAGAATTATCTTTTATCTTCTATTTTAAAGTTTCTCTGCAAAAAAAAGAACATCCAGGCGAGATATTAAATATTGATTATTTTCATTGGAGATTTTTAACTTTAATAAATTGTAGATAAATACCACGCCTTGAAGGTATTTTTATTTTTCAAACAAAGGATCGATACTGAAATCCCTTTTTTTCTCCATCTCTCTATCTCTCTCTTTCTCATTTTCCAGTATTTTTATTTGAAAAAGATAAAAGTTTTTTCCTGTAGATTGTTAGAATAAAAAAAAAGTACACTTAAGGATGATGTCTCATTATTTAGGTTTTAAAATAATTACAGTAGACTGTTTTTAAAAAATCTTTGGACTTAAGTAAACTATATTTGTCTCATTATTATTAAATAGACAATCTGTACATTCACGAGGAAAATTAATATTTACACAAATTGAGCAAAGACCAAAAAATCTTATTTCGGATTGAACATATAGATGTATTATTTCGTTTTTCTTTTTTATGTTTGCTTTTTCAAAATTACTTACAATAATGTCCAAAAATGATAAAATTTACAGAAAAATGTTGTGGACATGCTTGTTAAATAAATTCAGGTTAATTTTATTTTTTTTTAAACATCTTTATATAGATTTACGCTAAACATTTTTTTTTTATTTAACTTACATTGTATATACATGGAGAATTGTAAAGAAAAAAAATACTGTTTTGAAAGAAATTATAAATTATAGATTTACATTTTACATTGTTGGGAAAAAAAGTGATTTTACTTTACATTTTTTTTTGTTTGAAAATTTTAGTTTGATCACTTTTGATCGTTGTAAATAATGAAGACTCGTAGAAAATCGATTATAAAATTGTCAATTTTCAACCTAGACTAAACTAATGCACTCTTCTCTTTTTTTTGCACATTTACTATTTACAAGAATTTTGAATCGCATTTCCATTTTCTTTTTTTATGCGATTCTATTTTAATTTTTTTCAATTTAAAATGAAGAAACGTTTTTTTTTCTCGTATTCGTCTATTTTTTCATTGAATTTTAATTTAATGTAGTAAAAAGTAAAAAGCGGAAATTGAGTTTAATAATTTAAAAGTATAAATAGAATTTTGGTTCAATTAATAATGGCTTAATTCATGTAGGTTTTATTTATATTCTATTTAAAAATAAAATTTGGAATTTGATAATTTTTTACTTTTTTACTTTATATCGTGAGTTACGATTAATTTTTTTATGTAACAATTTCGAAAATAATTGAATTTCCAATGTAACCAAAAAGTTAAGGAATGCTTAAAAAAATTCATTGGCTTTTATTATTTTTTGATTAAAAATAGAAAATAAATTAAAAATTGAATAATTAAAATTGTAATCGATTGAAATTTAAGGTAATTCTGATACTAATTAATTTTATTTTTTAAATTTAGTTTTAATTAATTTACTTCAATTAATCTGAAATTAATTTTTGAAAATTTCAATTGAATGAAATTTTAATCGATTTTAATTTTAATCTTTCAAAATTTTTTATTTTATTCTAATTTCGATTCAATTTTCAAGTGATTGAACTCTTAATCAATCTTAAGTTTTATTTTTAAAACCCAATTTATTTTCTGGAAATTTTATTTATTTTTAAATTCAATATTTAAATTTCAAATTTAATTTATTGAAAGTTATACCTAATTATTATCGAAATTAACATAATTAAAATTACCAAAGATTAATCGGTTCAATTGTCAAATTATTCAAATTTCGAATCATTCGAAATTTAATTATTGATTAAAAATTTTCGTTCAAATTATTAATTAAAAATTTTTAATTATTACACTTTAATTTTAATTAAACATTATTAAATTTTAATTAAAATTATTAAATCATTAAAATTATCAAATTTCAATTATATTTTTCTTCGCAGAAAATAATATAATTTTTGATTTAGAAATTTTTTGTCTTTGATTGACTGAATTTTATTTTATAAACTAGCAACAATTCGCGCGCTAAAATTAAGAAAAAATTCTCGTCAAAATCCCAATTATCTTTGTAAGTAACAAAATTTTTCCGCAAAGTTCAATTATTTTCAAAAATCACAATAAAATTCTTGTCCTAATTTCAATTATCTAAAAAAAAATTTAATAAAATCGTACACAAACATTTAATTATTGTAAAAAATAATAAAAGTTTTACAGGAATTCAATTATTTACAATTTTTTATAATCAATTATTTTCATAAATTTTTAATTATTATAAATTATTATAAAACATGAAGAAATCGATCACTCCGAGTCTTCGACTCCGAGCAATCAATATCTTCATGTTTTATAGCAAAATACTTTTATAAGTTGTTTAATTTCAAAAAGGTTTGAATTTGGAATTTTTGAATGTTTTAATTCCTGTGAAAAATAATAATAATTAAATATTTATTTAAAAAAGAAATTATTGATGTTTTTGAATAATTTTATAATTAAAGAAATTCGTAAAAATGTAACGGAACATTTTTTTTTGAGTAAAATTTTTTCCTTTATTTTCTAAAAATTCAAAAATTGTTATTTTCAATGAAAATTTGAAATTGACAAATAGAATTTATAAACATTTGTTTGGTTTATTTAAAAAAAAAAACTTTAAATTTTATTAAAACAATTGTAATTAAAAAATTGAAATAATGTAAATTATTCCCTTATAAAAATTGAAAATTTTCTACAAAAATATTAAGAATTTTTTTTAAAGAAAAAAAAAACAAAAGAATACACAAAAACTAACTTCAGGTGTGGACAGAATGAAAGAAAGAATAAGACGATTATTATAGTTAATTAATTAATTTCAATTAAGAATTAATAAATTGTAATTAAGCGTATTTAAGTTTAATTACAAAATTTTAAACTTTAATTAAAATTATTGAATTTTAATTAAAAATTACTAAATTTTTATTTAAAATGATTAAATTTCAATTATATTTATCTTCATAAAAAATAATAAAATTTTTTGTTTAGAAATTTCTTGTTTTTATTTGATTGATTTTTATTTTTTATGTGTAAATTAAAACTTTAATTAATGTTATTAAAGTTCAATTAAGAATTATTAAATTTTCATTAAAATTATTGAATTTCAGTCGAAAATGATTAAATATTAATTAAAATTGGTAAACGTCAATTAAGAATTATTGAATTTAAATAATTTTTGTGCAACATTTTTTTGTCACTTATTTTTGTAATACATAGTAATTAATAAATAATGAGAAACATAATAAATAAGAGAAAAAGTATTGTTGATCTTTGTAATTTTGTAAAATTAAATTTCCGTTGTTCGCGCAAAGCAACGCACTTTTAAAAATTAATGACACATAAAAACGAATGTTTAGATTTGCAGTTATTTTTTGTATAAAATACGAAATGATTTGACAATTGCAATTTTTGAAATACACTCAACTCTCGATATAAACGAGAGAAAAAAAACGTTTGAATCATTTTAATTTTTTTTTTATTAATGTTGTAAATTTTCTGAAATGGAATCTACCATGTACAAGCTGCGAGTTGGCAATTGGTCGACCATCTGGCAGTGAAATTTCTTCCTAATAAACTGATTTAATAGTGTTTTGAAATAGTTTCTTTTTCTCTCTCTCTCTCTCTTTCTCTTTTTCTTCACATGTCTTTTTATTTTGGGCGGAGCACTATTATATGAACACTCGAGATAGTATATAAAGAACAATTTTCTAGACGTTCAATGTTGAGTTACCAACATTGTTCATGAAGGTGGAATGTTGACCGTCTTGATTTGTGGCCGTTACCCTGGCAGAGTGCCCAGCCTCACCACTCTGAATGCTAAAGTGTCGATAGGAAATATACTCGGGCGGTATTGGTTGCATTTCCCTTTTAACAGTTTCACGTTGCTTTTTTATCTTGAGATAACCGAGCACAGAGACGAGTAGTACAAGAAATGCAAAACCCATACAACAACCAATAATAAGACCCAATCGTCTTGTTAATATATTGTTAACGTTCTCTGTATCGCTTAACGATGATTCATCACTACTTGCAACGGCGTCAGGTGCTTCTAATGTTGTCACTTCACTGCATCGACTCGTTAATGAGTCAACCATTTCTGGAATAGATGTTGTCTCGAAAATTTCCTCTCTACTTTCATTAAATTGACCAATAACATTATTTTTCTCCTTTCCATCTGGCAACCAATTGCCAAGACCCACAACACAAATTAAGTACCTCGTACTTGATGTGAGTTTCGAAAGTTTTACCGAACGAGCACTTGGATCGAGCATCTTGCCTCTCACCTGCAAAACAAAAAGAGAGAACATTTTCTTTCAGTGAAAAGATCCGTGTTTATTCGACTGTTTATTAGATGGAAATGTTTGATAGAATTTTTAGTCAGTGAAATCGAAAAAATTTAAAAATTCTGTAGAAATTTATCAGAATGATTCTATGTATTTAATCTGCGTACTTTCTCAATGATTAATAATCTGAATTAGTGACTGATTTTTTTCTTTCGAGATTAGTAAATTTTACTAATAAATTAGTAGAGATTACTACTTAGAGTTGCTCTACTGAGCATTTGATAGAATTTCACTGGAACAATGCAATAAAAAAAAAAAATACAAGAAATTTGAATATTGGGTACTCGACAAGAATAATCAGATATATATTAATTGAAATCTATTTTTCCTACTGATTATGACATTAGAACAATTTAAAACTTAATGTCTGACTAAAATCTCTTTCTACTACTGAAAACAAGAAATAAAAAAAAAAATGAAAATTATTTATTTAAAAAAAATTATATTCAATAATATTTAAAATAGACATTTTACTACTATAACAGGGCTCGAACTAAGTTCGTAAATTCCTTAAAGGTCTGCAAAATTTGCTTGAAGTTCGTAAAAGTTAGATTTTCTGAAAAAAGGTCCGAAAAGTCCGTCATTTAATTGAAAAAGGACTGAAACTTCGTAAATTGTACGATATAATTTGGAGAATTTTAGAGAAATTACAAATGATTGCAGAAATTCAATTATTTTCAAAAGTAATAAAATTCTTCGCAGAATTTCAATTATGTTCAAAAATTTTTAAAAATTCTCGTCAAAATTTTAATTATCTTTATAAATAGTTAAATTCTTCTCCGAAATTTAATTATTTTTAAAAGTAATAAAATTCTTTGCAGAAATTCAATTATTTATAAAAATTAAAAAAAAAATACTCGTCAAAATTTCAATTATCTTTATAAATAATAAAATACTTCTCCGAAATTCAATTATTTTCAAAAATTTTCCTCAATTAAATGATTTTCAATACTTACTGTTTCAATAAAATTTTCCAAAAAAACTTCAATTATTTAAAAAATTTTTAATAAAATTCTACGCAAACATTTAATTATTTTCATAAAATAATAAAAATTTCACAGGAATTCAATTATTTACAAATTTTTTTTTATAAATTTCTTCGCAATAATTCAATTATTTTCATAAATAATAAAATATTTACAAGATTCAATTATTTTCGTAAATAATAATTGAATTCTCGTAGAATTTTCTATTAAAAATTGATTTAAAAATGTATTTCAGTTAAAATTTTAGAATATAATTGAATTTTAAAAGCATTAGAGTATAAATTTTTAGAAATAATTGAATTTTGAAAAGATTTCAAATTAAAATCTTTGAAAATCTAAATTTTTGAAATTCTTAACTAATAATTCTATGAAATTAATTTTTTTGAATAAGTTTAAGTGCGGATTTTTTTCAATTATTTGAAGTTTTTATTTTCTAATATATATTTCGTTGAAGAATTTCCGAATAATTGAAATTCTGTAAAATTGAATTATAAACAAATGAATTTGAAAATTTTCAAAGAACTTTTTCAAAAATTATTAAAAATAGTTGATTTATAGAAGAATTTTAGTTAAAATCACTAAAAAAATTGAATTTTGGAAAAGTTACAAATTATTGGAGAAATTCAATTATTTTCAAAAGTAATAAAATTCTTCACAGAAATTCAATTATGTTCAAAAGTAATAAAATTCTTCTTAGGGATTCAATTATTTTCAGAAATAATAAAACTCATCGCAGAATTGCAATTATTTTTAATACAATTTTAATCGAATTTCTCGAAAAATGTAATTATTATTTTAAAATTCTATTAAAATTCGTCTAAAGAATTCAATTATTTAAACATTTTTTCTTAAAATTTTATATGAGAATTCAATTTTAAGAAATATTCAATTATTCAATAAATTAATACTTATTTTTGTATGTAAATAATTGAATTCTAGTAGAATTTTCTAATAAAAATTGATTTAAAAGTGAATTTTAGTTAAAATTTTAGAGAAAAAATGAATATAGTGTGAATTTTTAGAAATATATGAATTTTTAAATTAATCTTTTTGACTCGCTCGAGCCCTGTACTAGTTATAAAGTTAAAAGAATTTAAAACGTAATGTCTGACCAAAATTTACTCTTACTACTGTATAAAAAGTTGTAACAATTTTAAACTTAATGTCTGACTAAAATTTTGATATATTACTGAAAAAAAATTACAATTAATAGAATAATTACTTTTTTTTAAAAAAATTATTATTTTAATACTGCATTTTAAAGTTAAAAGAATTTAAACCGTAATGTCTGACTGAAATATGTTTTTACTACTAAATACGAAAAAAAACTAGTACTTTAAATATTAGTTTGATGTACTTATTAATTTTGTAAAATCTACTAGCTAATAATTATTGACAATTTACATACAGTAAGAATTTACCATTTACTTAACATTTGAAATAATAAACAATGTTATTCAATTGAAAATTTTCTCTTTATTACTGATTATAATGTTGCAGGAATTAAAAACCTAGTCTGACTGTCATTTACTTTTACTACTGAAAACAAGAAATAGAAAAATCTCGAAAATTAGTATCTTAAAAAAATGATATTTAATTTAAATTGTCTTATTTCTACAGATTATAATGCAGGAAGAATTAAAGACTGTCTGACTAAAATTTAGTTTTACTACTGAATACGAAAAATAAAAGAACATTTAAATTTATTTAATAAAAAACAATTTCATTCAATTAAAATAGTTCTTTTACTAATAGTTATAAAGTTAAAAGCATTTATAACGTAATGTCTGACTAAAATTTACTTTTACTACTGAATACGAAAAGTAAAAGAATTAGTAAACTTCGACTACTTGAAAGAAAAACTTTATTCAATAAAATTTGTCTTTAGGCTACTAATTATAATGTTAGTTTTAAACTTCATGTCTGACTAACATATACTTTTACTACTGAATACAAAAAATACTAGAACTTTGAATCAAAATTTTTTACTACTAAAATTCGACTAATTTCATTAATTTTCATTTCTACTGTACCTAGAATAAGACAAATTGAAACCCTTTTCTTACTACAACTATCATCTTCTATACCTTTACCAAATTTTAAAAAAAAATTCTTATTTCGATACTGATTTTTTACGTCAGTAAAAAAATTTCAAGTATTCCATTTTTGTCAGATTGCAATTCTCCTTTACTGCTAAGTGAAAGAGGTAAAAAACAGATCTAACAAAAAAAAATATGATCAGGGGCTTTTCAACAAGATTACTTCACCTACAGGGAGCAATTTTTGAAAAAATACATCTCTATTTTCAAAATCTCAAAATCAGATAATATTCCTTTATTGAAATTATTATCATTTTTTATTTTTGTATTTTTCTTAGATAACGAATTTTATAGTTCTTGCCCTTCTTTCCTGTTCAGTAGTAAAAGAAAGTTTTTGTCAGACGTTAAATTTAAAATTTTACCAACTTTATAATTAAAATAAAACAATTTCAAATGAATAAAGTTGTTTGGTTTTTTTCAAGTAGTCGAAGTTTTGTAGTTTTTGGTAATCAGTAGTAAAATTAAATTATAGTCAGATATTAAGTTTTAAATTTTTCTAATTTTATACATTTTTTTTTTAATGTAGAGAAACAATTGTGATTAAATAAAATTGATTTTATATTTCTTTCGTATTGAGTGTAGTAAAAAGAAAGTTTAGTCAGACATTTCAAAAACTTTATAATCAGTAGTAAAAGGACAATTTTACCTAAATAGCTAAAACTAGATTACACCTTTTACTATCATTTTACTGTGATTTTATTTTTCTAATTAATTTAATTTTCATTTAAATTTAAAATCATCGTAATTAGAAAAAATATTCTCTTGTCTCTTTGATAAAAAGTTTTTTAAAAAAAATTATTTTTATTTAAGTGAAATTCTTTTGATTTTTCACTTCCATTGAGGACTATAATATTCTCCTGAATTTTTCAAAAAAAGATTAAAGTGAGAAAAAAGGTTTAAATCAAGAAAATGTAAGCTTGAATTTAAGGGAGTAAATATTTTCTTGATACCTCTTATAGTTCTAGGTACTGGTATAATACTGAGCATCATTTTTATTTTAAGAGCGCACTTGTTTTCTGCAGGAAATAATGGAAGAAATGGCTTGTAAAAATGAAGATAGAACCGTGTAATACTGAGGTTATACTTCATTGAAATAGTAAGCTTTAAAAAAAGTTCACTTTTTAAAAATGAATTTCATGAAGAACATTCAGTAAAAGTCTTTTTTAGATAATAAACTTCTTTACTCATTTATATGTGTACGTTTCGCGAAAGAGATTTATTTTTTTGTATTTGTTTCAATTAATCTCAAAAACAATAATTATTAGTAATAATTAAGTCAGTAATTAAAATAATTTAATTATTATAAGTAAAAATAATTAAATTAATAATAAATATTGATTAACAATTGTTAAATAGCTAACTTTTATAATATTCATTTATTATTACCGATTTATTTGAAGCCAAACATATATTTTAATGTGTAAAATGTTTAAATTTTCCTTTTCGTTTTAATTACTGATGATTCCACTTGCTTGTTTAATTACTGGAAATGTCATTTGGTGATTAAATTACTACACGAATTTAATTTATTTTAACTGAGTTTCTTTTTTTAAATTGCATTATTTCCTTAAAAATAGAGGAAATTATCAATTATTGATATAATTAAATGCCGAGATAAATATAAGTATTAAGTAAATTGTCAATTTTCCTTTTTTAAAGTTAAAAAAATTACCACAATATTTTTAAAAAATCCATGGAATAAAAAAGAAAATTCTCTATTTTCATTATTATTACTAATTAGGTATTATTGCTATTTATTATTATTAACTAATATTTTACTTAATAGTATATAATTTCGGGCTTCGCACTTGTCTACTAAAATCTACTATTTACAACTTTTCTTCTTAGATTTTGG